CCATGTTGGATCCGGGGCTCAAGACTTAGTCTCATCTCCCTACTTCCACTTTGTACTTCTGCTCTTTCCATATTGGCTCCATTCTTGGACAGACTTTTTTTTCCCTCATGGTGACAAGATGGCTGCCAGCACCTCTAAGCTTCCATCTGGTCCTCTCAGCACCTCCATGGAAAAAGAGAAGAGTGTCCCACTCAAAGTCCCAGAACTGAATCCCATTGGCTCTGATAGGGCTGGGCTTAGCTCACGGGCTTATATCCGAACCAATCATTGTATTCAATTCACTGTATTCAAGATTGTGTTCATTTCCTCTTGCTGCTGTAACAAATGACCACAAACATAGTGGCTTAAAACAAAGCAAGTTTAGTATCTTACAATTCTGGAGGCCTGCCTATCTCAAATATGATGTGATGCTCTGATTAGATAATCCAGAGACACAAGCCTGGCCTTGCAGCCCCACCCAAACCATATAGTGTGTGGAGAAGCTGTTTTCCAGGGGAAGATGTAGTCCGAACCAGAGCTGGAGGAACGGGATGGCCAAGGGGCAGCAACAGCAAGCATCCGTAACAGAAAACACAGGAAAAATCTCTTTTAAACAAATTTTTTGAGACTCGCTGTCAGATTTCTTTTGGGGATCGACTAATTTCTTTTAGCCCTTGAGCACACGGAATTGGCAGGGCTGAAGTTTGGAACGCACTGTGGTAATTTTATTTCATTGAGAACTTGAAAAACAATTTAAACAATTTAACAATTCCTCGCTTTTAAAGCAAGGAATTTGGAGCCTGGTACCTCCTCCAGTGGATCCCAGTGACCACAGGAAGATGGGGAGGTGCACAGCTAAGACTTGGGCAGCGTGGAAAAGCACTTAATTATCAGATTTCTGGGCAAGTCCAGGGTTTCCACTGATGAGGCCAGGCGAGAGGAAGAAACTCCAGGATAGTGGAAAACTACATAACGTATTATGTTACTCTCACTTAAATCCCCTCATTTTAAGGGAAAACAATCTTCAAAAGAGTCATAAAGCACATGAAGAGGCATCTTGAGGGGATGCTTAGCTAGGTAAATCACAATATTCTTAACAGCTGGATGTCTAGTCAAAATTTAAGCGAGAGATACCGTCTCAAAGATACATCCACACATCTACCAGCTTGGAAAATGTTAATGAAAACTAAACAGAAGGACCCTAGCCATGCAGTTGGCGGAGTCGCAGAAGTGTCCTGATACATCACTTCTCTTAGGGGGGCATTTGATGGCAGAGACAGCAAAGGGTGACTAAGGAGGGATGGAGACTCGAGAGGGGGAGAAGGACCCTTCCTTAGTGTCCTCTGCGGGGGAGGCGTGCCGTCTCCATTCCCTCCCATGACCTTTCATCAGAGATTATGGGAATAAAGAAACAAGACAAATGGAGAAGCCATGACTCATCGATGACACTCGGAGGAAAATGGGTGTGATTATAAACACAGGGTATGAGATCTAGAAGCAGCGCTGCCTAACGGTTAGGAACTGTGTCCCTGATATTGGATAGAATTGAATTTGAATACTGGCTCTGTCACCTAACAGCTGTGTGATTGTAGAACATTCACTTAACCTTTCTGAGCCTTCATTTTTTCATCTGTAAAATGAGGATAATGATAGTACAAATTGTGCTCTCACAGGTCAGAACAATGATTAAAACCCTCACCACCAGCTTGTGAATTGTATGTTTGTTTCCTCTGCACAGCCTGGAGCCCAGGAAGACTGGTAGTGCTCCAGCCAGGATTGTTTTTCAGGTGAAAGGACAGAATCCCGAATCAACTTTAAAAAACTAGAAACTATGAGCTTTTACAAATGAAAAGTACAGGGAGAGTGTGGATTTCAGGCCCAGTTGGATCCAGTGGCTCAAATCAGGACACAACCCAGCTTCTCCAGCTCATCTCCATCTTTAAAACTTAAATTAATTTAGAAAGGGATTTATATTACTACCACACATGCCATAAGTGAAAGATAAATTTAAATTTAAATGCAATGAAAACGATGTTACAAAGTCCTAAGTGGACCAGCAACAACACCACCCCCCAAACAATCCAATTAAAAAATGGGCATAGGCAGGGCTTCCCTGGTGGCGCAGTGGTTGAGAGTCCGCCTGCCGATGCAGGGGACACGGTTCGTGCCCCGGTCCGGGAAGATCCCACATGCCGCGGCGCGGCTGGGCCCGTGAGCCATGGCCGCTGAGCCTGCGCGTCCGGAGCCTGTGCTCTGCAACGGGAGAGGCCGCAACGGTGAGAGGCCCGCGTACCGCAAAAAAAAAAAAAAAAGGGCATGGGGACTTCCCTGGAAGTCCAGTGGTTAAGAATCTGCGCTTCCACTGCAGGGGGCGCAGGTTCGACCCCTGGTAGGGGAACTAAGGTCCTGCATGCCACGTGCTGTGGAAAAAAAAAAAAAAAAAAAAAAAAAGATGGGCATAGGACTTGAATAAACATTTCTCCAAAGAAGACATATACAAATAGCCAATAAGCACACAAAAAGATGCTCAACATCAATAAGAATTAGAGAAATGCAAATCAAAACTACAATGAGATACCCATTAGGATGGCTACTATAAAAAAAAAAAAAAAAAAAAACCCAGAAGACAGCAAATGTTGGGGAGAGTACGAAAAAATTGGAACTCCTGTGCATTGTTAGTGGGAATCTAAGATGGTATAGCTACTGTGGAAAATGGTATGGTAGTTACTCAAAAAATTAAAAGTGGAATTACCTAATGACCCAGCAATTCTACCTCTGGGTATACACCCAAAAGAACTGAAAGCAGAGTCTCAAAGAGGTATTTGTACACTCATGTTCAAAGAAGCTTTATTCACGTTGGCTAAAACATGGAAGCAACCCAAGTGTCTATTAACAGATGCAGGGATAAGCAAAATGTAGTCTATCTATAGGATGGAATATTATTCAGCCTTAAAAGGGAAGGAAATCCTGACACATGGATGAATGTTGAAGACATTATATTACGTGAAATAAGCCAGTCACAAAAGGACAAACACCGTATGATTCCACTTACATGAGGTACTTAGGGTAGTCAAAATCAGAGACAGATTGAAATAGAATGGTGGTGGCCAGGGGCCGGGGAGGGAAGGATGACGAGTTAATGTCTAACGGGTATAGCACTTCACTTTAACAAGATGAAAAGAGTTATGGAAATGGGTGTTAGTGATGGTTGCCCAACATTATGAGTGGATTTAATGCCACTGAACTGTACACTGAAAAACGGTTAAGATGGTAGATTTTACATGATACGTATTTTACCACCACAACAACAAAAAAACGAGAAAAAATCCTAGCTAGGTTCTGTGGCCTGCTCACGGCTCTAAGCACAAAAATGTTCGATTGTTACAATGTTAAAGACACACCCAACTGAGGAGCCTCCTGGGCGCCGTCAGAAGGACTGAAGGAGTAGAAAAGGGGAGACCTTTCTCACCTGTGCGTGGCTGCCGTTGAGTGTCATGGCAGGGACACCTCCATCATGGTCCTCAGGTTGCTGGAAGGACCAGTTGAAATTCTCACTCTTTTGACTCTCCAGCTGACCGTACTCTCCTTCTCTCAACTAGATGAGAAGACTCTGAGGACGGGCCGGTGCCGTGCTGGTATTCCGTAGCTACGTGTGCCTTGCAGGCTCATCCAGGTGGGGCAGGTTTTAGTCCAAGCTGTGGAAGGCAGCAGACTCAGAGTGGTCCAAGAGCTCTGACCTCTCCTGTGTCTGAATATACCAGGAAACTGCCCTCTACCCCTTTTCTCTTTCTAGCCGATGAGTATACCGTATTTTCTATTTCTCCAGCCATCCCCCAATCCAGGATTTTTTCATTTTGTAGGCGATGAATATTTTAAGTCTGAGGAGAGGGATGATAACAAAGCGATCCAGGTTCTAGCCCGGCAGGAGCAGAAGGTAATTCTAGTCTTGGACTTTTCTAATTTTCAAAACATGCAACACAGAAAATGAGGAAGAGGCCCCTGTAAAGTATTTGTCCTGTTTGGTGACAAATGACCTTAAAAGATGTGATCTTTCCCTCTCCACACCTTGACTTGGACTGAGGGACTGGGTAGGATGGAAGGGGGCTGGAGGTGATGGAGAAGTTTAAGCCTCAGCTCAGTTCTGGGGACTCGGGTACCTTTCTAGTTACTACAGCTCTGTAACAAATTGCCCAACGCAGAGTAGGGTGCAGAACAACCATTTCTTGTGCCCATGGGTTCTTGGGTCAGAATTCAGACAGGGCACAGAGCGGGGATGGCTAGTCCTCGGTTGGAAGTCTTCAAGGCTGGGGGCTCCAGTCACCTCAAGGCTCATTCATTCACACAGTGGTTGGCATGGGCTGTTGTCTGCGAGGCCTCAGTTTCTCTCTGTGGGCTTGCTTGGCCTTCCTCCCGGCATGGTAGCTGTGTCCAGAGGACCAGGATCCCAAGGGAGAGAGCCATATGGGTGCTGTGCCACCTTTTATGACTTTGCCTCCAAAGGCACTCATGTCACTTCTGCTGCCTTCGATTTTTTCCAAGTGGGTCATTCAGGCTGAAGGGGAGTGGGGTGGTACTCGACTGTGTCTTTTGTGGGAGGAGTGTCAAAGGACTGGTGGACATGTTCAAGTCACCACAAGTACCCTGCGACATGAGGAGTGACTCCAGGGCCTCAGACCTGTTTATCTTCCTCTGTGTGGCCTGTGACTCCCTGCCCTGCCTGGGGTTTTCAGGGAACGCCAACTCCAATCCAGTCCAAGCTGATGGGGTAGGCAGTGGCCAAGAGGGAAGTGCCCGATGCCACCTGGAGCACTGCCTCTCTTTGCATCCTTCCCTCTGGTCGGGGAACTCTGGCCAGGGAGGGGCTCTAAGGGCTTCTTGGTGTGCTCAGAGGTCAGCAGTCCAGGGCGGAGTCCATGGGAAGCATTTATTCATTCATTCTTTCATTCATCGACAAATCTTTCTTGAGTACTTCCTGTGCCCAGGCACAGTTCTCAGCAAAGGGGGTGTTTAACAAGGAAATTAACCGACCCTCTCTCCTGTGGTGCTCAGGGCAGGAGACCAGTCTCAAGTGAGCTAGGAGCGCCTCCGACACGTGGGGTGGGAAGACCACGACTGAGAGAGGAACCTGCTTCTCACCGAAGCCACCTCCCCAGTGCAGGGGACTGTGCGGAAGTCACGGACACCCCAGGACCGCTAGCTCCACTTCTTGGTTGACTTTGTCCCTGATTGCTGCCCAAACCCTCTGAGCTCTGAGCTCCCGGGAGAGGCGGGCAGACGCTGCCTGTTCCCGTGAGTCACGAGTGTAAAGTACGCCCAGGGCCTTGGCAGGCAGGTCTGTGCAAGGGTAAGGTGTCATTAGGTGAACGGTGAGAAATGCTGCTTTCCAGAGCCCCAGAGATAAAAGATAGGATTCAGGCGCAGCCTTTTCTCTCTCCCACTGAGCTGCGGTGGGAGCTGCAGGGTCCGGGCAGCGACGCGGCGGGGTGGGCGCGTGAGCGTGAGTGCGCGCGTGTGCGTGTGTATGCGAGTGTGTGCGCGCGTGGCCTTCCGGCAGCTGTCCCGGCCCCCACCCATCGCACCCGGCCCTGTGGCTGGCCGGCTCCCCCGCGCCTGCGAGGCGACCCCCGTGCGCCCCGGGTTCAAAGGCCCTGCGCGGCAGCTCCAGCCCCTCCGGGGGGCGGGGAGGCGAGGGGGGTGGTGCGGGAAGCAGAAGAGCCGGAGCCCACAGCCGGCCAGACCTGCGCCGGGATGGGTAGCGCGCTCTGAAGTTCGAGACCGTCGCAGCCAACTCCTGGCCGCAGCCCGGGACGCAGCCAGCCAGTGGTCGGCCTCGAAGACCGCCTAGCCGGAGGGCGAGGCCCGCCGTGCCCGGCACGAGCCCCCTTTCACGGCCACAGGCGTTCGTCCTCCGGCCCGGTGCTCCCGCGGCCGATCGGGGTTCATGGAGCTGCGGTTGTGGTTCCTTTTCGGGCTCGCAGTGACCTCTGCCGCAGGTAAGCGGGCGGGGCGGCGCGCGGCTCCTGGCGCGAGCGCACACAAAAGGACCCCGGGACGGGCGGGGCGGGGGGCGCGGGGAAGGGGGCACTGCTGGCAGAGGCCTCTGGCCCCGGCTCGCCACCCCTGCAGGCGCTCGGGGGGCGGGCTGGGGGGCAGAAGCTGAGGGCACGAACCCCCCGGGGGCTCGGGAGGTTGCAGCCCACACGCAGACTGGAGACCCGGGGCCCGGGGCGGACTTTGTCGATATTTCGTGAAGTCGGGAACTTTTCCAAAAGTTTGCAAACGATTCAGAAACTGTGCAAAATGACTGCACAGTTTTCCGAAAGCCTGCACAATGCTTGCACGTTTTCAGCGGGCACAGATAGCTCGCGCGCTGCGCGGCGAGAAGAGCTCCCAAGCTTTTCACCAAGCGTGCACGCAACTTGCAAACTTTTCGGAAGCGGCGCGCCTAGCTTTGCACACTTTTCCGAACCTCGGGCGTAGCTTGGAGACTTAACAGAAAGTACCATTAGCTTGCAAACTTGGCAGAAGGTTTGGCTCCCCCTCCCCTGGGTTTTGGGGGATGGTGGGTGTCCGGGGCCTGCACCCTCGGCAACTCAGGAGCCCCTCAATCTGCCTTCTGCAGGATTGGTGCCTCGCCCCCAGCCTGGGGACGCTGGCAGGAGCGGCGAGCCCCGGGCCCCCTCTGCCGCCACATCGGAGGGGGACGCAGAGGAGACTGTGGCCACAACAGCAGTGCGCGGTCCAAGCCCCAGAAGCCCTGGGCAGGAGGAGGGACCTGGTCGGTTTGGGGAGCAGGCGGCCAAGGGGGGCCCCGTGCACCACCGAGCCCGGCGCTGTACATGTTTCACCTACAAGGACAAAGAGTGTGTCTACTATTGCCACCTGGACATCATCTGGATCAACACTCCTGAGTGAGTCAGCCCTGGGGGCGGGGGCTCCTGGGCCAGGCCCCTCTCTTCACACTCCGGGATGACCTGGTCCCATCCCAGCCTGGTCAGCCCAGAGCCCGCCTGGCACAGCCTTCAGCCCTTGCTAGGCTCTCCTGCCAGCCCAGGTCAGGTCTGCAGGTCAAGGGTGTGACCCCCATCCCCTCTGAGGGTCTGGCCCAGGAGAAACCCAACCCCAGAGTTTCTGATCCGGTGGAAGGGCGAGCCCTCCCTCTGAGTGAAATGAGCCGGCCAGAGGGATTAGACACCTGAGAAGTCCCTCTGGGAGGGAAGAAGCCCCGAAAGTTATCTCCTGCCCCAGGGGCTAAGTGGGCCTGGCCCCCCTTGCTGACCCTGCCAGCCTCCAAGGAGTTTCAGATTCCTTGAAATCAGCCCGCTCTCTAGGGAGCACAGGGGTGGGCTTGGCAGGACCTCGTGGAACCTGCCCCGTAGGGGTGAAATTCCATGGGCTCCAGGCTCCTTACCTCCTGTGGGGGCAAGCCCACGGGTCCTCCCCAGGCTGGCTTCTCCTGCCCACTGTCACCCCCTGCCCCGGACAGCTCCCCCTTGGCCCTTCCGGTCCCTAAGAACTCTCTTACTGCAGGACCGAGACAGTGACACCTGACTTAGTTGTGGGGTCTCCTTGCTGTAAAGCTCACTCTCTCCCGAGGCCGTGGGCAGCGACTCAGTTCAGGAACCCCTTCTGCAGAAACATCATCCTGCAAACTGCGAAGAGGGCTTGACCGTGCTCTGGTCACCAGCCTTTGGACTTTGCCTTCCTGGTCTCTACAGTCTGGGACTTGGACCAGATGGCTCTAGATGTCTCTAGGTATTCTTGGGGTCTCTTGGGCGTCCTGCTTGCACCTGACTAGGGGTTCTTAGCCTTCCTGGAGCCCTTGGCCCGCAAAGGCAACTTTGCCACTGTGTTTGGAGCCCCTTGATTCGGGTCTTTCAGGGGTTCCTTCATCCCGAGCCATCTAACCTCTGAGCACCCTGGGTGATATCTCGATGGGCCTCACATACCCACCTTGTTTCACTGACACCTCGAGGATGAAGTGCAAAAGAGGGTGAACCTGGGGGGCCGAATGTGTTTCAAACCAGGTCGTGAACCCTCTCAGTGCATCTGGGAGAGGTCTGGAAAGTCACCCTGTTGTCCAGCATGGCAAGCAGGGCTGGCTCCAGCGGGGAGCCTGGACACGTGCACAGGGCTCCAGGTCAGAAAGACCCTCATGGTTTAAAGCGTATTGTTGCCATCTTGAAATGCTTAATACTTTTAAAAAAAAAATCGAAGTATAGTTGACCTACAATATCGTGTTAGTTTCAGGTGTGCAGCACAGCGGTGGAAATGCTTAATACTCTTTGAAGCAAGGGCTCCACGTTTGCATTTTATCCCAGGTCCCCCAAAATGAAGCTGACCCTGATTGCAGAATTTGCCTGCCGGGCTGTGTCTGATCAGCTCCTGCACATACCGTCAGCCTACAGTAGGAAGGATGGGGCCAGGTCATAAAAGTGATGTGTGCTGGGGAGGGACCCTTGGACGGGCTGTCACTGATTGCCTTCTTGTTCTCAGAGTGTGATCAGGGTCACCTTCTCCTACCGTCCCCATCACCCTGACACTTGTCATTTCTGATGCTTATCTTCCTGGCATTGTCCTGACCAAATTAGCTTCACAGAACCCAGGACTGAGGGCAGCCTTGGTAGGAATCCCAGACTGTGGGTCAAGAAGGAGAAAGAAGAAAGCTAAGCAAATTTGGGGCAGGGGGGGCCTTTGCAGAGGAGAGGAGGGGACATTTGGAGACCACCTTAGTTCTCTGCCTGTTGCCAAGCCCTGAGCACTGGCTGCGGGAAGTGATTGTCGCAAAGCCCTGCGACCTGGTGCGAATCCTGTCTCCCAGTTCTGAGCTGTGGTGTAGGGCCCGAGATGAAGCCATGGGTCTGTGGCTTTTTCTAGCTAACTTGCTAACGTTCCCCTCACAGCTTGATTTACCTCTTCCCCTCTTCCCTGACCCTGATTCATTTTAAACACTAGGGGGAAAGGATTAAATATGGTGTTTGGGAGTTTCGTGAGCTACCCGGGGAAACAAAAAAAAATGACAATAGCCAGGCTTGAGCGTTTTGAAGTCAGACAAGCGACATAACTTTTATACGGAAGATGTTCCTGGATGGTCTTTCTCTGTCTTCCTTTCTTTTCCTCCTCCCTCCCTCCTTCCCTCTTTCTTCCCTCCGTCCAAAAATTCTCTGTTGGTATATGGACAGGTCCACTGGCAAACTTTAAAACATGTTGGATAAGATCGCGAAGTGAGGAAATGGGTTTTAGGGAACTTGGACCTTTGGAGAAATGGAAGCATCTGAAGAATGACTGGATTGAGCTAAACGGATGAGGGTAGCGCACACCGAGGGCTTTTCCAGCCCCACCCCTTAGCTGTCACCCCCTCTTCTTTAGCAGACCCTCTTGCTGTCTCAAAACTTCTCCAGGGTGTGAGTTGCATCCCGTCCCCACCGCTGGCTATGCTGGGAACCCGCAGGGGTCTGGAACCTCAGGCCTAAACAGAGAGTCTTGAACTTTGGGTGGTTTTCAGCTTCTGGTGTCTTTCCTTCTTCTGCCTTCCAGTCACATGGAGGCAGAGGCAAAAATCCGGCTGTATCTCGGAAGGATGCTTGCAAGGTTGCAGGCATTCTTGGAGAATGGTTGTTTTGGCTGCGTTTAAGGACCCAAAAGCTTCAGGAGGGATGCTGTAGTTACTGTATCTCACGTGGAAAGTGAAGGCTCGAGAGACCAGCTGCTCCCAGAGGTGTTTTCTGGGTGTGAGATCCAAGTTCTCTGGTTTCCCCACATCCTTCTGCACACTTGGTTCTTCCAGACCTGCGCTCGAATAGCACCCAGCACGTAGTAGGTCTCAGTAACGCTGGTGACTTCCTGTGAGGCCCTTGTCTTTGTTGTCACTGAGGTTCTGTCTGCGGGTCTTTCTCCCACACATGAGGCGTTGCTGTCCCAGGGTGTGTGGGTGCTGCCAGAGGTCTCACATCCCTATAGACGTGTGCGGGAACGTGGATTTTCCCAGAGCTGTTGCCCATAACTTCCATTGTTTCTTCCAGAAGATCTGGGACCCCAAAGAGAAATGAACCAAGTGCATCCTGGGCACTGCCCTTCTCGCCCCTGGGGAGGGGGCGGAGATAGCAGCTCACCCACGGGACAAGGGATGCTCAGGGCTCTCCTTGGCCATGTCAGGAAGCCCCGCCCCTACCCTCCCCCCAGCAGCCCCACTGTTGCCCACAAAAACAAAAGCAAAACTCCACACCAGAGAAAAACACATCCCGTCTTAAGGCCATGGAAAATTTGCCGAGAATAAGATAATAAGTAGAGAAGTAGGGACAAGTAGCCCACGTGCTTACATCCCTGTGCCCTCGGGGTTTTTTTCCATGAGAATACTTCAAAAACAGGAGTGTCCTGTGACATGGTGGGGGATTGTGTCTGTCAGGGTCTCCAGAGAGATGGAACTAATAGGACGTGTGTGTGTAGGTATCTATGTGTATATAAACACACCACACACACACACACACACACACACGCACACACACACACACACAGGAGCTGATGTTGCACTCTTCAGTCTGAGGCATCCTGGAGGCAGAATTCCCTCCCTGCTCAGGGCACCTCCCTCCTCTCTGCCCTCTCCTTCACCTGATTGGATGAGGCCCACCCCCGTTATGAAGGGTGATCTGCTTTACTCGCCGTCTACTGATTTAAATGTGAATTGCCTCTAAAATATACCTTCCTAGCAGCATCTAGACTGGCATTTGGTCACATATCTGGGTACCATGGTCCAGCCAAGTTGGCACATAAAAAATGAACCATCACAGAGCTCTCAGTGCTAATGGTACCCCATAGCAGGGCAGTCCCTCTGCACCTGCCACTGTGCACCTGGCTGTGGAGTGAAGCCACTCACTCTCAGATGGCCAGTGGAGTCAGCTGCAGGGCCCCCAGCAAGGAGCCCTGCTCTGTTCCTCCCCACTTTTCTCCTGAGAATTGAGGGAAATTTCCATCTGTTAAATCCCTCCAAGGACATAATGAGGGAGGCATTGTGGTGCTGTGACAGTGACCATGTTTCCAAACAAAAATCCGAGCCACATGGGCTGACAAGTAGGAATGTATTTCTGGAAAGAGCAGTGCGGGATGTTTGGAATCATGGCTGTGGTGGAAAATCTGGGCTCTGTAATCTCGTGGGAAGACTCCAGACCCAGGAGCTCTGCCCTGTGTCCTGGATGTGACTCGCTGCATGGCCTGGGGGTGGTACCACCCTCTCCCTGTGCCCCTGGGTAAGTTGCAGACATCAGTGTGGCTCTAGGATGGTGACCTAACAAGATGATCAACCTGGCCACACTGACTCAGGAATGACATTTGTCTCCCCAGAGTGAAAATAATGATAGCAAAACATTTAAATTGTATTTCAATGTATTCTACCACAAAAAGGCAACAATTGCACAGACTCATCTTTGCCTCCTGTGTTGTTCAAGAGAAATATGCCAGCACGTTTCTAAGAAGGGACTTTTTTTTTTTTTTTTTCTGTATGGGGGCCTCTCACTGTTGTGGCCTCTCCCGTTGCAGAGCACAGGCTCCGGACGCGCAGGCTCAGCGGCCATGGCTCACGGGCCCAGCCGCTCCGCGGCATGTGGGATCTTCCCGGACCGGGGCACGAACCCGTGTCCCCTGCATCGGCAGGCGGACTCTCAACCACTGCGCCACCAGGGAAGCCCCAGAAGGGACATTTTAAGTTTGAGAACATCCCAGAGGAATGGATGGATCTGGTTTGCAGCCTCCCACTGATGCAGGGCAGGCTGCCCGCCCACCATGTGATTTCAGAGACCCCAATGACAGTCATGTGACCCGTGAGTCAGGACTGGGAGCATCGTTGCTGGAGATGCAGCTTTTGAGGCAGAAGGATAGTCTTTCTGAGCTACGTCATGACCATGTAGACGATGGTGATGATGGTGACAATGGTCCACACTGATGTTGACCGTGACTTCTGAG